AAGACTCCGCAAGCAAAAATGTGGAAAGACTTGTTAGCTGCCTATTTCAATGAAGTGCAAATCAATAGACTGCCCATCAATGTCTTGCAAGGGCTAAGAGCTAAACACTGTACCAAAAGGGCAAAACCAAAAGCAAAGCCTTTTGTGCCACCAACAGTGTCACCAGAGAAATTCTCTGCTCTGAGAACAAAACTGTCAACATCTTCCCAGGCACATGCAGGGCCACCAGCTTTTACCCCACCTGATCATATGGCCTAGAAAGTCCAGCCAGCCCAACCCCCAAAGAAAAGAGCCACAATGGGGGTAGTAGCAAGCCGAAGACCAGTATCTAAAGTTAATATTGGCCCCTTAATTTGGATACCTGTAATTCAATTAAGTAAAAGTAAAAAGTCAATTGATATGGTATTAGACACAGGTACCCAGATTTGCATTTTGGATTCCACAGATTGGAAGGGGGAGAAAGAAACTCCTTATCAAGTAATTAAAGTCGGAAGCACCAGATGACCAGAACATCTAGTCTGAGCAACCTTCGCATTACCTAACGGCTCTAAGTAATACTTAGAATACAGCCACAGTAATACTTAAAGGGGGACCAAGCTTACTGGGACTTAATGTACTTAGAGGACAGCAGTTTGCCCTTAAACAAGAGAATTGGCAGTTTAAGTGTGCAGTGTCTCACCGAGAACCAGAAGAAACGGCTATAACAGTTGTAACTCGATGTAACTCTATGTAAATGATCCCACTAACCCTGCCTCCCATGAAAGAAGAACACAGACCCCAGTATCAAACTCCTCCCCGCAACCTATCCAGTGTACTATAAGCCAGCAGTTAAAAGATGAGACTACTATTCGAACCCACTCTCCGTATAACAATCCAGTGTGGCCAGTGTGCAAGCCAAATGGAGGGTGGCAATTGACTATTGACTTTTGAGCTTTGAATGCTAATACTGACCCCTTGATGGCTGCCGTCCCATCACTACCAGCCTTGACAGAAAGCATCCAGAGTTATAAGCCTGCATGGATTGAATCCATTAGTAACAAAGACATGTTGTGATGCTATGTGTTTGTAGCTGTAGAAGTTGTCACAAAAATAACGTTCGCCCGTGCCTCAGCGAAAGCTACAGCCCAGGACACTTATGCAGCACTGGAAACTCTGCTAGCTGTGTATCCACCACCCATAGAACTACAGAGCAATAATGGCCCTCGCTTCCACAATCATCTTGTGTATGACTGGACCATGAAACATAGCATGTTACGGACATATCACTGCCCATACCATCCACAGTCTAATGAATTGGTAGAATGAGCCAATGGCATCCTCAAATGCAATTTGTGAGTGGCCGCTGGCCCGGCTCTTAAAGACTGGGACTTGCACCTAAATCGAGCTATCAATTGGGTCAATAACTGACCCCATTCGGGAGGTAGTCCCATGCAACAGGCCTTTGGATTGGGTGGTTCCTGGGAGCCGGCAGTAGAGCGACCTAGGGTGGTGACCCAGGAAATCTCCAGGCAGGAGATCAGGTAGTAGTGAAGCATCCTCAAGGAAATAAATGGGAGGGGACACTATTAGAAAAAGGTATGCATAATACATGGTGGGTATTTAAGTCAGATTTATCTAACGGGAGCCAAGCTCCTTGTTGTCTTGTTCCTACAGATTGGATCTGTCCACAAGTGCAGCCATAACCATTTCTAATTGAGCCTGCCTCTGAAGACAAGTCCTGCTCTGTCACCGGTCTAAATCGACTGGCATCATGAAGGGATGGACTGTTATAAATGTACTCTTTTTATTAATGCCTTGTTGTGTTTCCTGGGTAGGGCGTATCTACTATCCTTCTTATTACCCAGATATTAATGAACGTGCTCCTGAAAACCTCAAGAAGTGTCCTGAACCTAAAGATCATCTCCCGGAAACGTGTTCAGATGGCCTTCACATGGTATCCATACTGGAAGAAACCCGTCACCCCGGAGCAAGTGAAATCTTGGTCTCTGAGTAGAAGAAACAGGATAGTTGACTGGCAAGGTGGTAACTGTCAGTGCACCTGTGGCACCAGTTATTATCTTGGGTTCATTCCCTACCTGAAGGCTGGAATGGCTAACTGTGGGAGGGGAGGTGGTTGTTGTAGCTCTGCTCATTTGGAAATTTGTTGTTACATACTTCCTGAGGGGAACCCCATTGAGCTCAACGCCCCTGAGTCTGTGTCCCCAATAGTGCATTCGGCATCTGTTCAGCCTCTCAAGCCACTGTGTTTATGGGAGAATCTGCCCCCTTCCATCCCTATGGCTGACAACACTCTCCAATGATGGTGTGAGGCCCACCAGGTAGGAGAGCGTATTACAGGTTGGAACAAAGTAATTAAATGGTTTGTGAATCATACCTACACAGAGGCATGGTGGGTGTGGTGAAATGGTACCCACTTTAATACAACCAGAAATAGGCTGTATCCGCAAGTCTCCAACACTTATCCTCATCCTTTTATACCAGTAAAGTTCCTAAAGCAAATTAGTGCTATGATTCTGCCAGAGCAGTGCCATTTCATTAACCCGATACAGCATCGTTCCCATGAGCGACAGTGGGAGCTCTTTCACTCTCTGGGAAGTGAAGCATGGTTACAGGCTCCCAAAAAAGGAAGGATAAATGTGATCTGTGAGAAAATGGGGTGTTCGCTACTATCTCTGGCTGTTCCCCCGCAGGAAGCCCCAATACCACCAGTGTATAACTCCACACCCTGGTGGAGGTCACAAGTTAAAATCCCAGCCCACCTAACATGACCTGCTTATACGAGTTACCTAATGTGTCATATGTAACAATAGGGCAACGTGTTTGTTGGGAAGGACCAGGTCGTTTGCTGCATAAATATAGTACCAACTGGACTTTATGCAATTTGTGTTGCTTAGGAGCTAAAAGTAAAGCCGTTGCTCTACTGCAATTAAGTAACCATACTATTGCCCTAAAATGGCCAAAACTTTCCTCTGAGACTATACCTCTCAACTTTACGATACCCACTTCATGGGTATCAGATGTAGACATGCCATGGTTAAAAAACTGGAATAAAGTAAAAAAAATAAGCTGCAAAGGCTCAGCAAGGCACTCAGTTAGCTCTCCTTGCTCGAGAGGGTGAACAAATCATCAGTCTAGCTGTCAACGTGCCCGAGCCTTGTAAATGGTATAATGTAATCTGTACTATTCGTGTGTCACCAAGTGTCACCTCAACTACGTGGCTAACCATCTTGAGCATCATAGTATTCTGCATTGCCCTAGTGGCAACAACTAAATGGTATTTTAATTGTTGTTGTAAATCTGTTTATGCTATGCAAGTTAAATTTATAGATCCCTATTTCCCGATGTAGCACATGTGGCTTTAGCATTTTAATTGTAGCCATCATAGTGCTTCAGCAAGCAAGGGGTGGAGTGTGACAGCTGAAATTGTTTGTGAGATAAAGGTGCTGCTGAAGGCCCTATGAAGATTAGATGAAGTGTTTTTCTGTATTTGTTTAGATATTAAACTATATGTTGTTGCTAAAAGCCTAATTAAAGTTTAAGATGTAGTGAGGCCTTGTATAAAGTAAGGCCTAGTAAATTTAGCAAAGCCTTGAAGTAGTAAGGCCCTGTGGCATAGTTAAAATTACCTTATCGAAGGAATGCAAAGTTTGTACTGCTAATTGGTCAGTCTAAGGACAGTTGAAGTCAAAGGAATCTGAGTGGTTGTACGGTATCAGTATCATTCAGAAGCTTTAAATTGGCTGGAAATCTGGAAACCATTCAGAAGGAAGAGACAGCTCTGTGAAAAGAATTAGTTAGCTGTTGCCTGGATCAGTGGGCCTGTGGACATCAAAGAGCCCAAGAACTGCATTCCAGGGTCCTTTCCGGTACCCCTTTGGACAGTGTCGTTCAGGGATGCCTGACTTCACTGAACTTTGAGGAAAAGAAGCTTGCTGTGTATCAGGCATCAGAGGGGACTGCCGATAAGTTGCTGACATGAATTGCTATTGTTTGTCTTGTTACTACGCGTAGTTGTGTTTTTGTTAAGTCAATAAATCTTTCTTACCTTTCTATCCCCGACCATACTCTCAATACCAAACCCTCCGCAGGCGGCTGGGACAGACATAAATAAACCTTTTTTTTGGCACATTCCAGCAACCTCTTGTGTCACATGTATCAGCATCCCAGTGCTTAAAAATGGCAGCGGGGTGCTTGAACTAAAGCTCATCAAATGATCTTTAGTTCAAGCACCACTGCCACCATTTTTAAAAGCAGGGATGCTTTTAAGAGGAGCAGAACTGAGTGGGGCGAGGGTGGATGCGGGCTGCCCACTGAGGGCTCGGGGCTCTCTGCCCTGCTGCCTTTGCCCCGGGAGCCCCCACATAGGCCACACATCCCCTGTCTGCCCAGCAGTGGAGGCCACAACTTGCTGCCCTCACTGCTGCTGGGTGGGCAGGGATCATGTGGCCAGCGTGGAGCTCCCAAGGGAAAGGCAGCAGAGCAGAGAGCCCCGAGCCCACAGTAAGCAGCCCGCATCCACCCTGTACACAAATCTGGGGGGGCATATGCCCCCCATGCCTCCCCCTGGGGACGCACACAGTGGCAGGGAGCCAACCTATGCCCCCTGGATGAGCTGTCCATGGCTATGTACCACTCCACCCCTTCCCCCGACCCTAAATGCCATGTACTGCCCTGGCTGGGCAGCACCCCCAGCACCAGCCCCTGCCCCATTCTCTCCCTCACTGTGGGGGCCCCGATCTGCCCTGCCATGCCCCTTCCCCTCCATAGACTTACCTGCAGAGAGCTGCTCTCCATGCTGCCTGGCTGTATTCCTGGCTACACGCATGCATGCGGCCACGCACATGCACATGGTGCCCCCTGTGTCTCACTCCTGGCAGTCCCAAGCTGGACACCTTGCAAGCTAGAATGCTGCCTGCCCGCAAGAGGAAAACTGCTGTTTCCTGAGGGAACCTAGGCATCTGGGGGCCCTGGCCCCATGGGGGAGAGGGAACCCAGGTATCCAGGGCCCTGGCCAGAAGGCATAATTATTGGTAAACATGATCGGCTACAACGTCCAAACAAAAGCTGATAGCTGATGTCATTTCCCTATTTCTTGGCGCCGATCCAGTACGCAACCGATATATTGGTGCACCTCTAATGTATATCTCATGCCTAAGCCCCACAGGGATCCACAACTACTAAGAATAAAATTAAACTCTCTCTTTGACCTAATGAATCTTGAATTGGGGAAACCGCTAACCTGTTATCTGAAGGGAGGTACTGCTGTCACCTCAGCCTTAAGTTATATTGTAAAGATCACCTACCTTCATGTTTTAAAGATAATAGATGGGTCAAGAGAGACATCAGGCTTGTGATTCCTTAATTGAGGAGGCATGTCCTGAGGGCACAGAGTACAGCACCTAGGTCCCAGAGAGGGACAGGACTCAAGACACATTCCTCTGGTCAGTATTTCCCCAATTCACGTATCTACGGTTCCTTGCTCAGCATGCTTTAGACCACAATCTGAGGTATCTAACATTCCCCATGAATTATACAGGCAACAACGATAAAATAGATCAGTGGTGCTCAACCTTTTAGGGTGATGGGCAGAGTGCTTGCAACTCAGCTGCTCTGTGGACCACCACTCCCCTCCATCAGGGAAGGAGGGCA